GGGGGGGGGGTCAACAAGGATGGGTGTTTAATATTAACAAGTTAAGCACTTTCAAGTCAGGTGGTCCATGGCCCCCTCTTCTTGCACCCCCTTTACCCCTAAACAAGCAAAACGTCCAATTCCACACAGGCCCCCGAGCACCATGGGATAGGTGTGCAGTGCAATGTGCAGTGCAAATGTGCAGTGCATGCTCCAAGACTGAAACTTCTCCTTGTCCTGAAAGCACTTGTTTAGGGTAGGGCGACTGGGGGCGAGGGTGGGGGTTTGCCTGCGACAAGCGGGCACCAGGGGGTTGAGTGGACTGGATCTGGATAAGTTCATGAGGGCAGCTGAGGTCAGTGCACAGGACCACACAGGGTAATGTTTATGGCCGGCGCAGAGCCAGGAGACAGTACTGATAATTACCCTGGGCGATAAGGCCAAAGGCAGCTGATACGCAGTGACGGATTCATGGCAACCGAAAGCCTGCGTCCCATGCAGCCTCTGTCATTTGGAAGCTGTCAGGCATTGGAAGCTCCTGAGTGCCATGTCCATACACCACTGCTGCTGCATAGGAAGGCTAAGGCCAAGGATTGAATTGCCTTATCACTTATAAGAAGGACTAACTATATTTTTTGCCCGCCTTTTTAATACCAGAACAGAGAGCACATCAGAACATCCTCTCACGAAACTGTGCGGGAAGAAGCATGCGCTAAATTAGCCTGTGTCAATATTAACTCAGATATGAGATCATTTTGTCAACTGAATGGTTAAAAAGTAATTTCACACACGCTACCGCATGCCTTTCACACTGAAATCCTACGCATTAAGCTGTTGTCTAGGGAAGTATTTTTAGTATATATTTACGGCTGGACATAAATACTGGAAAAGTTGTGGTACGTTTGCATTACAATTTAGTCATTCATAAGTTAAGAGAAACATATGTCTGCTTTTCTCTGAGCGCACTTGTCGACATCGGCGCATTTGTTGCGCGCGTATGCGAGGTATACATGCGGCGAATGTGTGTGGGGGTGCATGCACCCTTATGAGCACAGCTACGGGATAAAATGCGGCTGCCACCGGACAGAGAGGCCGCTTCTAAAAGCCGTGTCGTTCCCCTGGAGCAGTGTTTCCCAATCCAGTCCCCGGGGACCCACAGACAGTCTACGTTTTTTGCTCCCTTACTGAGAGCTGGGAGGGAGCAAAAATGTGGACTGTCTGGCAGGGAGCTCGGAGGGCGCAAAAACATGGACCGACTGGGGGGTCCCTGAGGACCGGGTTGGGACACACGGCCTTAGAGGGACACCTGACTCCTGATTGTGTACCCTGTGCAGTGGTCATGCTTTCAGGACAAACTCATCACACCCACAAAGACAGAGGACAAGCATGAGACATTCTGTTCTACTTTCTAAATCTTGCCTGCCCTCAAGCTGCGGTGGTCCTGCCTCCCTTCCTGCATATGCACAATGGCTCAGTGGGTTAGGATGCTGTGTGTATGATCAGGTGGTTGCTGGCTCAAATCCTAGAGTCAGCAGAGCGATTTTGCCATTGGGCCCCAGAGCATGGACCCTGACCCCGAATTGTTCCAGGGACTGGCTGACCCTGCCTTAAGTGCATATCACTTTGAATACATGTGTCTGCAAAATGAATCACAATTAATTAATCACAAACACACGTGTGCATCTCTGGAAAATGTAGGAAAAAGGTCACACTTCAGTGGAAAGTGAATGAATGTTGTGCTTCTTCCAAGCACATACCCTTAAACATCAAGCACATGTTTTACATCATTTTGCTAAAAATGTATGTAGGGTGAAGCAATCAGAATTAGCACAAAGACTACATGGCCATTAATCACAGCCACTGGTGCTTAGATTACACTGAGGAATAGGGGAACACTTAAAAAAAAAAACTCACAATTATTTTTTCCATCCACCGATGCTACAGCTGACACACATACGCACAGAGAATGGAACCGCCAGCACACTGATCAAACGAACAACAGAGAGGGAAC